CATGGGTTTTTTTGGAATCACAGGTATCTTTTGGGGTTAACCACATTGTGGAACTACTTTTCAAGTCCTTCTGTGCTCAGGCCTTTTATTGAATTTCACTGATGGGATACCAGGTTCTTCTGCCTGGACAGCTGAAAGGATATCACAGGGAAGACTTATTTCACTGCCTAGGGATAGGTCTGTCCTCTGGCTACCTTCCTGGACTAAAAGAAAGGAGAACATTGACAGAAGATAGACATGGCTCATGTATGCTTCCTTCAATGGTGCTGCATTGAGATTATAAATATGATTATTATCAGCAATATAGAAAGCATTCTTTTCTAGTTAAATTTACTGAAGAAAGTAAAGAAAATCAAGAATAAAAATACCTAATTCATTTATTAACTCATCTGAGTTAATACCCAGTGATTGCGCACCTGGATTGAAGTTGATATCTCACTGAAGGACTCAAATATTGTTTCACTTGGCAGGCAAGGATCTAAGTAAGCAGGATTTTCCTGAAGGTAGCAAGAAATTATGATGCAATGTGGTTATTTATTAGCTTTGGTTTTACTGTCAAGGAGATGGGCAAATAATGCCCTAATGCTTAGAATTTAAATGGGTCAAACTATTTGCACTGCTTAGACTCTGCCCAACTTCTTTATAAGTTCCTAGAGATAAGCTTCTCGATCGACATACTTTTGAGAAGTCCTATATCCTCCTTTGATACTTTGTGCAAGCTTAAGCGCTTTTGAAAATCAAGCCATTCATCTAGGTTTTGCAATAAAACTACTCAGAATCATTTTTTGCAGAAGATATTCCTCATTTAAACTCAAAGCTTTCACAGAGAATTACCAATCTGCTTGTACAGAGATCTGCCAATTTGGATTGAATTTTTGTCCTGAAATGTCCAATGTTCACGGTCTAGTCACTGCAAGTGCAGTATCTAAATACCCATCTGACATTTTAAATTCATATACAAATATTTTGACACAGAATGCTCTCATGGGTTTTGGGGTTTACAGTATAAAATGAAAGCAAATTTTGTAATCTTGGAATGCAGTAAATGGATGGTTGTCCTCTGGACAGATTTATTTAAATTTGTTATAAATAACTTGTTATTTGAAAAACACAGAAAAATCCTTGTTCACAGTTTAAAGAAACAGCATTTTAAACCTAATTAGTCTTTCTCTTAAAAAGCAACTTTCCTGTGAAAAAAAATATGGAGATGAAAATATTGGTTCTGCTGACAAAATCTGCTTTCCATTTGACTAGGAGAAATTAACTTTAATAGTGAGGCACATCAGTCTTAGTTTTACAATGCCCAGCAGACAAAGGTATTGCATCTCTACTTCTTTTCACTCTGCTTATTTTCATTTGCAATCCTTGCTGCAGATACTGATCAGCCAGAATTTGCTCACAGGCCCTGACAGTGTTAGTGTACCTTATCTACCACGACATATGGCTCTTTGCTGCACACCCTACACATAGAAGTAATGCAAACCCAGTGAAGGCCTGCCTTGATTGTGCCTTCACAACATTTCACTGGTGGCCTTCTCTGATTCACTGTGTGCTTTAACTGGCTATAGAAAAATGGGAGATCTCTTGTCCGATATTTATTTTATTTATTTTATTACTGCAAAAACTTGTATCAGCATTGCTTCAATGTTTACTGTCAGCAATCTAAAGTTATGTTTCCCCAGTGACATTTTTACCAGGGTGTGATATAAGACACCTAATGTTGTGACTGTACCTTTTTCAAGGTTTTCAGGCATCATCACTGCTTTTATGTAAGTTTTATAAAATGGTAGACTCTTCAAAATCAGTGCCAAAAGTCCTATCATCTACAATTTTAAGTGCAGCAAGTACAGTTAAAGCTAATCAATTGATACAGAAAATACTATTAAAGTGTTTTAGCTTAGACTTTAACTGTTACTTAGGTTCCTAATTCTCCTTCAGTCTGAGTTAAGATGAGATGCATAAATAAATTCACCACTCTGGCTCTAGGAGCTTTTGAAAATCCCACCCTCCAACATACAATGTACAGTTTTGTGTATGATTTAATTTATTCTCAAGGAAATAAATGGGATCACATTGCCTGGCCCTCCCTGTGTCTGTCAGTCAGTCACTGACCTGTCTCTCTCTCTCTTTCATTACTTTTGAACCCAGGAGCTAATGTTGACTGCAGACAGAAAGGCAAGGGCCCAAAGGCATTAAGTCCTTACAAAGTATGGAATTACAAATGCTTGGAGAAAGGTGATCTGGAGTGCAAGTTCCACTGCCCTCACCTCTCTGCTTGCACACAGGCTCATGGGCCAGCCTGTGTGTTGGTCACAGCCAGCGTGGCACCACTGTCCCTGCCAGGCAGAGGGTCTTACCTCGGCTCCAGGAACAGCCCACACAGAGCAGGCAGGAGGCCTCCACCATCTGCCGAGGATGGTGAAGGAGCTTGAAACATTGGTTCACTGGAAACTAGGCCACATTGATTTCATCATCTAAACTTGTCACCTGCTAACTTGCAATAGACAACAATGGACAGTTGCTTCTCAACAGAGCTTCTGGAAAAGCGCTCTTGAAAACCACACATTTCCTCTGAAATTACATCAGCAGACTTTATTTAAAAGTAGTTGTTCTCTGGACCTCCACAACTTTACTATCTTGCAAAGGGCAAAAAATTTTGACATGTCCCAGCGACAGCAGCCATACTGAAGAGCTGACATTGGGCCTACCCTGCAGAAAGTTCTCTAGTCTAGACTGACTCTATGACATGCCACCAGCTGCAGATGCTTTATAATCCTATTTTAGTTCACACTGGATAGTATTTCTAATCCCCTAGGTTTACCTCATCATGATCCCAGGTGATCAGCAAAGAGGATGGGTATCATTTCAAGAAGAATGGAAATCTATCCACAGGCTAGGGTTCTAACATGACTTCTCACACTTGGGCTCTTCTGTAAATGAAATATTGATGCCCAAGCCAGTGAAGTTTTATGCCATCAAGGCAGGGGACAATATTTTTACATGCTAATAAAAGTACATTAAAAAATTCAGTGGAGATGATTTGCCTTCAGCTGGAAGCAGAGAAGCTGGTGTTAAATGAAATTAAGTTGTCAATGACTCATCTTAAAGTTTTCTGTGTGTTAAGACAATACAAACTGGAGGCACCATAGAGCCATTTTTAATTCAGTATGTGAAAAGAAAATTATGATAGCAGAGTAAGTAGCCTATATATGTCTTTGCTTCCCCTATATATAGTGTGATGCATATTCTCACAGCCATGTGATAGGGATGAGTCCTTACTGCTTTCAGAAAATGCAAAGACTTCGAAGGGATGTCCATAAACCTGGCAGTGAATAAGCATCACTTCTGCAAGCAGTTTGGTCCAGATGATTCATACTCTTGCTACAAGAGAGCAGGATCAAAGTCTTCATAACTCAGTCAGTCCTTGAGTAACCCTGCCAATTCCAGGCCTTGAATGTTTTTCATTATCTCATCACCCACCAAGGACTGCAGTGTCTTACAGAGCAAAGTAGGTTTAATTTAAGCAGAAGCTTGGGCTGTGCTTGTATTACATGTTTTTAAAAAAATATTTTTATACTAAGATGGTTTTGCAAATAGCAAAGAAAGTTTTCTGCCATGTACCTGCCATCAACTGTCTGCTGAGACTCCTGAATTATATTACAGAGTAAGACTTTCAAAGGCTGTAACTAAGTCTCTGAGTCACAAATCTTGCTACACAGTATGTTATAAGCTTTTGGTCCAGTACAATAGAAAAAGGTTTGACATAGTTTCAAGAAATGCTATCAGCACCAGTGAGTACACAGATAACAGGAGGATGGGTCATGGAGAAATTCAGACATAAAATCAGAAAGTATACACTGCAAGCAGACCTGCCACACTTTAGGGTTTGAAAGGCTGACATCTTCAGCACTACACTATGCTGAGGTAGTCCTACAGAATGGATTCAGAGAAGGGTGACACCGATTTACACTCCTTTTTGCTGTACAAAATGGTCACCCTTCAGATACAGTCGTGAGCTCTCAATTCAATTTTGCTTAGCTTGAAAGATTTCTGTGACAATAATACTCCAGTTCCAAAGTGCTTTACATTACCAGATTCCTATGACAAGCTTGGAGTCCTACTGATATGACTGTCTGGTCTGGATTTCACTGGAAATTTGCATTTGTACAGGAGTTTGCTTCTACAGGACTATTGGTTTGGGGGAATTTTGTATTTTTTTACCTGTACATAATAAATACCAGAGTGATAGATAATGTTTGGGGTTTTTTTTCATGTGCATGGAATGTCATGTCTCTCTAGTTAATAAATCAACTCTCCCAATAATTATCTTGGTTTTCTGACTCACAAGTCTGCATTTACAGGTTTTAAATATGTGAATTCTTAGTAAAAAAATCAAATACCTGAAAATTAAATATTCCAGGATGCTCCATGTTCTCTGCATAAGTTTAAGCAAGTTAACTAGAACTTAATTTATAGAGACGCTAACCTCCTGCAATCATCAGTGGCTGGAATTAAGTGTTCAGCTTTTATGCAAGTTGATTTCTTAATCTTTATCCTAATGAAACTTGTATATTAATGTTAAGTGCATGTGCTTGAAAGACAAGGCCCTTCTATTTATCCATATCATTCACAGAAAAAAAAATACAACTACTACTGTAGGCTTGAAACTCAAAAACCTTTTACAGTTTTTATAGAATCTTGTAAAAGAAAGAAGCACGAGTCCATGTGTATGTTACAGTCAATCTAAGATAGTTGCCTCCACACCTCTTGAGCACTTGTCACCGACCTGTTAAAAGTATTTTCTGGGTTTTACTCAGATGTAAATATTCTCTTGAAGGGCTACAAATTCCAGCTATCTTTTAAAAGTCTGTTTGTCACAGGAATATGCCAAAAGGAAACATCAAGGAGCTTCTGTCACAATTTCAAGTCTTTTTTATAAGTGTAATCATCCTGGTCCAAGGACACAAACAAGGCAAAGTTTACAAACAAGCATAATTTATTTAGACAGAGCTTTCAGACACTTGAGCTCTTTTCCAGATGTAATTAAACAAAACAAATACTTTACTTACAAGCTTCATCTCGAACATGTCTTAATTGCTCTGGTGAAGGGTCAAGTATACAACATGTTGGCACCTCTGAAGGAAGCCTTGATGATATCATATCTTCATTGTCACAGAGAGGAATCCACATTAGTCTTGCAAATACAGCCTCATTTGAAGAATTTTTAACAAAAACCTCAAATTTACAGCTATTTTTGTAACTCATCCTGAAGGAAATCACTGAAACTGCTTGAATAACTACCTGTTCAAATATGAATCCAAAATCACAATACAAATTTTGTAGAAAAGCTATTTAGATGCTATGACTTGCTCGCTGATCAGTCTAACAAGAAGTATCTGCATTTTCTTACCTTATTTGTTTTCACAGATGAAGCACTAAGTTGGAAGGATTCTGAGATGGCAAATGTATGCAAAATTTTTTTATGGCTCAAAAATTATGAAGGGGTGCTTAAAATCACTATATGAACTTTCTGTGATACCGCTTTGTTTGTCCTACCACCATGGTTGGGTTACACATTTGCATGCAAATCTTTCCCATGGAAGCTCTGTCCAGAAACAAAATGAGTGTTTTTTTATACCTGTTGTTAGTGTCCTCTCCACGTTCTGTTCTCTCTGCTTCTTGCTCTATTTCCAGCTTGCTTTTTCTTCTTGACCCAGGGTAAGTCCACACTTCCTCACACCTCCTTGCCCAGATGTTCACATCTAAATACTCTTGACTGCACACCCCGTTTCCCAGTTTTTATCCTTTCCTTCAATGTTTTCTCCCTGCAATGTTGTAGTCCCCAGTCAGTCCCTCAAGGTTTTTTTTGGAGGGTTGGTGTGATTTGTTTTTGTTTGGGTTTTTTCGTGGGTTTTTTTTGGTTTTGTTGTTGCTTAGTTTGGGTTTTTTGTTTGTTTGTAGGGGGTTTTTGTGTGTGTGTGGTTTGTTTTGTTTTTTTTTTTTGCAAAACACCTCCTCCTTCCACTCTTTACCTATCTACATTTAATCTGCATTTAGCTAGGCAGATTTTATTTTTTTTTTTACATTTGTAAGGCTGAGGGGGATACCTGTAGTGTACAAGGGTCTGATCAAGAAGTAAGTATTAACTGTAGAAAGACAGAAAAGGGGAAGTAACCTGGAACAAAGTTTTGTAAACTTTTCACTAGGCCTAAGTATGCCTTTTTAATTATATGTTAAATGATAATAAAGCTTTTAGCTTAAGTAGGCCAGAGAGATCTCAAAGGAAACCTAAAAAAAGGAAAAGATTATACTAAAAATACTAATAATAGCAATGAACTCTTTACCTTTCATACTCAAGCTCACTGCTGCGCAGCAAAGTTGGACAAAGGTTGAATTCAATTTCACCACCCTTTTTCCTGGCAGAGTGAATACATTTTCATTACTGCATATCCATGTTAAGGATGAGGTGCTCCAAGGCAGTTTTACACCAGCAGCGATCCCCACTTTGCACTTCATTTCCCAGCTGCAATGAAGTTGCAGCTTTTTGCGATTTAGTGTCTAAAGATGGATTATTTTCGCCAAAAGGGGAGGCCACCACCCTTAGCACGTCCCAGGGGTCCGGGATGAGCCTCCTGAGCAGGGGGCGGCGAGTACCAGCGTCGGGAGTCTCCCTGCCCGGTGGGGCGGCCGCTCGCCCTCCAGAGGGAGAGGATACAGCTCACTTTTGGGGCTGGGAGCGAAAAACAGGAGATGGGCTTAAGGCGTAAAATTCTAAGACCCGGTGAAGTCCGTGTTAGTGGGAAGCACAAGCCGCGGAGAGGCAGGGCGGAGGACGCGGCACACCTGCCGCTCCCG